GAAACGCTCGTTTTGGAGACTTTGACACGCGACTTTTGGAGGAAGTCTCGTTCGCAACGCTCGTTTTGGAGACTTGGCGCTTCACTTTTGGAGGAAGTCTCGCGCACAACGCTCGTTTTGGAGACTTGGAGCTTCACTTTTGGAGGAAGTCTCGTACGAAACGCTCGGTTTGGAGCCTTGGCGGTTCACTTTTGGAGGAAGTCTCGTGCGAAACGCTCCTTTTGGAGACTTGGCGCTTCACCTTTGGAGGAAGTCTCATGCGAAACGCTGGTTTTGGAGACTTGGCGCTTCACTTTTGGAGGACGTCTCGTACGAAACGCTCGCTTTGGAGACTTGGCGCGTCACTTTTGGAGGAAGTCTCGTGCGAAAGTACTCTTGAGGCGGCGGGCAGGTCTGGCCGGAGCTCTCGAAACGTGACCCTCTGCGAGGATCGTGCGTGTGGAGCGCTCAAACGTGTGGTGAAACGTCGATCGCGTTTGACCTGGAGTGACCCTCTGAGGGGATCGTGCGCGTCGAGTGCTCAAACGTGTGGTGAAATGCGAATTTGGTTTGTGCGCGGGTGGCCCTCTGCGAGGATCGTGCGTGTCGACGCGTAACTTTTGGAGGAAGTCTCGTACGACGAAACGCTCGCTTTGGAGATTTGGAGGAAGTCTCGCGCACAACGCTCGTTTTGGAAACTTGGCGCTTCACTTTTGGAGGAAGTCTCGTACGAAGCGCTCGCTTTGGAGACTTGGCGCTTCACTTTTCGAGGAAGTCTCGCACGAAACGCGTACGAAACGCTCATTTTGGAGACTTGGCGCTTCACTAGTGGAGCTGGACTCAGACGTGGCCAGTTTGTAGTGCAAATGTAGTGCGGAAAGAGCGTTTCGGAGCTGGACTCAGAAGTAGCCAGTTGGTAGTGTATGTGTAGTGCGGGAAACAGCGTTGCGGAGCTGGACTAAGAAGTGTTTGCTTTTAGTCTGTGACAGACGGTGTGGCGAAATTACGTCCGTGATGTCGCTGTGCCAGGCGGATTTGCGCGGCCTTGGTGGAAAGCGCGTTTGCGTGGCACCGCGCCACTGGGGAGCGCGAAACATGCTGGCGTAAACGCGGCGTGTCGCTGGTGAGCAGGATGATTGGTCCGCGAACCTTTCAGTTCCACTCAGCAGTGCCAGCATTCCCTGACTCTGGGCACGCATCAATCTGCAAGTCCTTCTTGGCCTTGTCTAGGACCCTAGGACCTACCCTAGGATGTCAGCCATGTTGCAAAATACGTTCACCCTTCCTGTTCATGCTGGTTCCCTTGTTATGGAGGTGGCGCATCACTTCTCTGGGCTTCATGGTTGCCTTGCGCGCAAGCCCATGCCTATAAGGCCCAGCAGCCCTTTGACTTGCTGCGCCACATCTGCAGGCAAAAGCCCCAAAGACATGAGCGCATCAAGCCTCTTCCATTGCGCTAATAGAAGCAAGGTGCATTTCCAAAGACCAACCCTGGGCTGAAATGCTCAAACCACATAGGCTGAAAAGACATCCAGGAGAGTTGACAACCGATCAAAATGGACCTGGTGCCCAGGCCTTCACAGCTTCAGCCTTCTTCATTAGAATCCGTGTTAGGAGCATTCCGCTTCTTCTTCCCTGTAACGCGTTTCCATGGCAGCTTGTACAGTACATGACCTCGCGAAATTGTACCGTTATAAAGACTTGCAGTCCGCTTGAAGTTGTTGCTCTTCTGCTGAAGAAGCCCCTTTCGCAGGCGCCAGCATGTCAACTGCCGTTGCATTGAGGTCCGTGATCACCATCTGCTCAGCGTGGTGCTTTTCTTGTTCTCCCTTCTCCATCTTCACCGCCACAAGCCTGGCCACCGTCCAAGGCCTTGTTCCTCAGTTTCTTAAGATCTTGGAGCTTGTTGCCATTGCTCAAGCTACGCATGTGCCGCAAAGAAGTTCCACAAGCTGCTGAGAAGCGGTTCTGCGTTTTAGGAACTTGTTGCCACTGAGGCCCTGAGGCCGTGCAATGCGCCACCTTGGTGTACTTTCCACCACCATTGCTGATTTCGATCCTGCTGCAAAATTTGCTGCTGCTTTCCATTTTGGAAACGCTCTAGCCAAGCACCTGCCAAAAAATGGGCACGAACAAACGCACCAAAACAAGCTCAGCCAAAAGAAAATTGGCTTGTAAAAAACCAACTGGACTCGAAAAAGTCAGCAACTATCAAATCAAACAATCACCACCAAGGCAACAAAAAGACTAGAAAGGTTGCATAAGCAGAAAAACAACACCAATAGTTTGAACCAACTTCTGTAACTGCGGAAGCACCTTTTGAACTGCAAACAGCGGTCTGTAAGTGAACTGGTACACTTCTTATTTGTGCGTGTCATTCGACATGCTACATGAGTGCCATTCTTCTTGTTTGGCACTCCTCCTTCACATGCGAAGTTTTAACTTCGTCTGTGATCCTTCTACGGCCTTTCCGGCTCTGGATCTATGAATTCAAAACATTCACGCATCTTCTGATGCATTTCATTTGCCATGTGGCGGTCTCCCGCTCTCGTGGCGTGATACCACGTGGCTTCAATCTTTGCCAGCTCCTGTCGAGCTTTCAGATCTGCCCTATTGTAGGGACGGTTGTAAAAAGCAAATTTGGCCTCTGGAATCTCTATCGGTTCCGGCTGCCAAGCATCAGGATCAGTTGGCCATTGCTCAGGTGTGGTCGCGCTTTCCATCTCCTCATCGTCCTCTCCAGGACTGGGCTCTGGCTCCATCTGCGGACTGGGCGCCTGAGCCACTTCTCGAGCGATCTCCAGGTACTCGATGGGGATGTCCACTACCTGGCCGCTGTCAAGCTCCACAGTAGCCGTTTCCCCACTCAACATCCTTTCATCTCCGTGGTCATCTCCACGATCATCTCCACCTCCTTGTGAAGGCCCAGGCTCATCCATGGGAATCCTGGCATCCCCTTGC